AATGGCCTCCTTGGAGCAGTGATGGCCATAGATGCCATCTTCTTGCTCTCTTCTTTCTTTGGAGGTGCTTCCTTCCTTCCACCTCCCAGCTTACCACAGGGGAGCACGCGCTGGCCAGCTGCTCTCACTGCCCTGGAAGGACTGAGGGGCCTTGGAAGGGGAAAGGACAGGACAGAGCCTCCGTTTCCACCCTTGCTCCTTGGCACCCATCTGGGGTGATTCCCCAGCCACAGACTTATATCTCCTGACCCCGCTGGTTTTCCCTGAGTCTGTGCACCTGGTCCTGGGACCGGAAACCCTGCATGGCCAAAGCCTGGATTTGCTCTGACCTGCAGCCAAGCCTCTTTTTAGTCTTGTGTGGTAGGGTGTACCGAGGGGTGGAGGAAGGACTGTCGCCCTCATCACGTTCTGCCTCATCACCCATCATAAAGCCTGAGAAACTTACACAGGGAGGGGCATTCTCCGCAGTGGCCATGTCCAAATCCTTAGCAAAGAGGGAAGGCTGGGCAAGTCTGCGGGGCTGGGAAACACAAGGTGATGGGGAATCTGCTGGGACAGACAAGGTCACTCTGGCCCCACTCAGCCCCAGAGCCACCTAAATGCCACCCACATGTCTCCTCTTTCCCAGGCTGCACTGTCGTGTTGCGATGCTGGGAAGAGTCAGCATCTCTCACTGCCCTGCAGGACTTGGTCTACCGCCCTGGGACAGGTGTGTGCCTGGCTTCTGGGGAAATCTTGTTGCCCACAGGGGTTAGGTTTTATAGGGTGCCATCAGTGTGCCACTACTTAGGGTGCACCCCAGGTCACTGGGCTGCCCTGTACCAGCCTCAGTGCCTAACCACCAAGCACTTGGCACTTGGGGAAAAATACGTCTTATTTTCCAATCAGCCCATTGGCCACACACTAAGGACACATGACCTGCTTGTAAACTGGGGTTACCATGCTTAAATCTCATGTAAAGCTTAAGAGTACTTTTCAGTCAGGCACAGGTGGATTTTATTTTAATGTTCCTTTTTATTCTGCCTGTATCTAGTACAAGTTGGAACTGAAGAGGGTTTACAGCAGCAAGGAGTAATTCGAAATTAAAACAGTGACCGTGGGGGAAAAAATAGTCTTAATTCAATTCCAGTGCCCATCTAAAACCTCTTTTATTGAAAACTATGACCTAGGAAGTATTTGCATAACTCTCTCATGATAATTTCAAATATTCCAGAATATCTTTATGGAACCCTCCAGAATTCCCATCTCTTAAGCAACTGAATCTTCCTTAAAAATCTTCAGAGTCCCCAGATCTTTAGAGACTTGATGGGCACTGTAAAAGGATTCTGGAGATTTCAACTCAACAGTCAACAAAGTCCTTCCCAAATCTTTAGTTGGACTCTGGCATCCCCAAAAAGACTGGGATCTCTGTCTGGCTCTTGGGGTCCCCAGAAACAGGGAGCCGTCCTCAGCATATTCCCTGTGGAAGGAATCTGCTCTGTTTTCTGTTGCAACACAAATAACACCATGAAGCTCAATGGTGAGTTTCAATACGTTTATTTTACCGCATGTGACCCAGGTAGGCTCAGACTTACAAGTATGTTTGTGCTATGTTTCATATTCAAATGCACAGCTCTGATAGTTTACTTAGCAAGCTGCGCTCTTTGTCTCCCTTGACTTCTATCAAGCACCAGATATAGTGTCATCTCCGTGTGGGTGCTCAGCAAACACTAATTGATGGTGATCAGGATAATGCTGTTGACAAATGGCTCCATGAAACCGATGAATCATTTGCTGGAAGAGGCCACGTACAGCAATTATGTTGTCTTGCTTCACCAAACAGGTAATGTTTCATACCTCAGAGCAACACAGAATATTTTGCCTGCCAGTGCCTAGTCACTATTTCCAGTCAGTGTCGAAAAGGTGTCTTTGAAGAGAGCAGAACTTTTGAAACATGGATCCCGTAGGCAGACTCTTAATGTGAGAGATACAGCTGTTTCCTTTGGTTCAAGCTACTACCAAAACCTGGCTCCCTCACGAGCTGGCAATCGAATAAACAAAAAGGTGAAGCAAGAAGTTTGAATCAGCTAATAAAAACAAATGAACTAATTCGTATGAGTATTAACACTTCAATGGTATTGCTCCCACCCCTCTGTGGAAAGGTCTGGACCTTTTAAAATAAATTGGCTGTGGGATAGACAGGTTTACAGAAAAGCTTTTGATTCATCCATATCAAATTGCACGCATTCAACTGTTTTTGACCTTCAAAATGGCAAATTCGTGTGGTTCAGCTGAACGAAAGATTTAAAAATTCTCTTGCACAGAATGTGTCTATATAAACATAGGTAAATACTAAAGTAAAGAAGCAAATTCTTAATAGCTGCTTCCTGGCAAATTTATAATTAAAACAAAAAAAAACTGCCTTAAATATTAAAATTTTGACCATAAGGGGATTTTTTTTTTCTACAGAAGCCAAAATCTGGTATTTGGATGTATTTCTGTGGTCAGTCAAAATCTTTATCATTTTAGATCAGGGGTTGGAATATCCCAAGTGGGATTTGGTCCGCACAGTCATGAACACTTTTTAAAAATATGAATCCTTTAGATAAGGGTAGGATTCTCCAGTCACCAAAGGCCTCACCACTCTGTACTGTTTCCCTTCAGTGTTTAGTTACATTTTCCTGGGAGGCCCTCAAAATGTTTCAGTTTGCAACCTGTCTTAGATGGCATCATATCTCACCGCTTTGGGTCCTCCGATGGGATGAGAACTTTCTGAGTCAAGGAATTAAAAGGGGGTGCCCTGCTCCCTCCACAGATTCCACTTCATGGCCTGTTTTGTTCTGAGTATGAATAGAAGGAGATGAAATACCAGAAAATGCTCATCCATTCTTGTAATCCAGCAGCTACAAATTAAAATAAGATGTCTCTATTTTTTTTTATTGAAGTATAGTCAGTTTACAATGTTGTGTCAATTTCTGCTGTACAGATAATAGTTCAATCACACATACACTTACATATATTCATTTTCATATGTTTTTCATTTATTTCATAGGTTAGTACAAGATATTGAATATAGTTCCTTGTGCTATACAGTGGAAACTTATTTATCTATTTTTTATATAATAGTATCTGCAAGTCTCGGACTCCCAATTTATCACTTCCCACCACCTTCCCCCACCAGTAACTATAAGTTTGTTTTCTATGTCTGCGGAGTCTGTTTCTGTTTTGTAAATACGTTTGTTTGCATTTTTTTAGATTCCACATATAAATGATATCATATGGTATTTTTCTTTCTCTTTCTGGCTTAACTTCACTTAGAATGATAATCTCCAGGTCCATCCATGTTGCTGCAAATGGCATTGCTTTATTATTTTTCATGGCTGAGTAGTATTCCATCAAATAAATATACCACAACTTCTTTATCCAGTCATTTATCGATGGACATTTAGATTGTTTACGTGTTGTGGCTATTGTGAATAGTGCGGCTATGAACACTGAAGTGCATATATCTTTTCAAATTTGAGTTCCCTCTGGATATATGCTCAGGAGTGGGGTTGCTGGACTATATGGTAAGTCTATTTTTAGTTTTTTGAGTAATCTCCATACTGTTTTCCATAATGGCTGCACCAAACTGCATTCCCACCAGCAGTGTAGGAGGGTTCCCTTTTCTCCACACCCTCTCCAGCATTTATCATTTGTGGACTTTTTAATGATGGCCATTCTGGATGTCTCTCTATTTTTAACCTCTCAGTTTTGCAAAAGTAAAAAGATCGATGATATTTAGGGTTGGTGAGAGTGTGAAGAAATGAAAATTTGTTGGTAAACTGATGCAACTTTTTGATCAGAAAATAGGATGTGTTTATAATTTTGTAAATGTGTGTACTGTTTGCCTCAGCAAATCCACCTTTTCCTACAAAAATAGTTACAAAGCATGGAGACTACATACATCACATATTTGAAGACTTTTATCGTAGCATGGTTTGTAATACTAAAAGCTGAAAATAACCTAAATGTTTATCAATAGGTGAATGTTCAATTACTGTTACATACCATGGTTAAAAAGAATGAAGTGTACCTGTGTGTAATAGAAAGGTGTAAAGGATGTAACTCTGCAAAAAGCACACTTCAGAACAATGTCTATAATATGATCCCATTGAAAAACAAAAGAAGATAATTATACATGTGTATTTTAATGGGCAGATGTAAGTCTATGTATAGAGAAAGCCCAGAACAGTGATACTCAGCTTGGGGAGATTTTGCCCCTCCCGCCAAGAGGACATTTGTCAATGTCTACAGACATCTTTGAATTTCTTGACTATGGGAGGGTGCTATTGGCATCTGGTAGGTAAGAGACCAGGGATGCTGCTAAACACCCCTCTATGCACAGGACACCCCCCCCTTCTCAACAAAGAATGAATTGACTCAAACATCAGTAGCATAGAGGTTGAGAAACTCTAGTCTATAAGAATATGTAGCAGACTATTAGCAATTATCTTTAGCAATGTTGAAGAGATTAAGATATTCTTTTTATGTTAGTTAGTATTTTGCTGTATTTAAGTAAATTTCTTTTTTTTAAATCAATGTATTCCTTTGAAATTAGCACAAATGAGAAATACTAGTCCTTGGCTGGGAGGAAGTGGGTTACTCATTTTCATTCAGAAGTGGTCAGTCCACTTGCAGCAGTTGGGAAGCTAAACGATAATTTTTAAATTGAGACCAAATAGCTCTTTCGGGCAAAGAAGTATATATTAACAGATAACAAACGTTCCCTGTCAATCCTGATTTTGCTCTGTTTAGAAAGATGGTTCCACATTTTAGACAATCAGGGCTTCCTTACTCTGAAATGCCTGTGTAAAGCACTCCAGTGCTCCTGCTGTAAGCAGTACCCAGGACTGACAGCCCACACGCCCACATGGCAGGGAGCTGAAGGCAGCCTCGGGCTGACGGCCACTAGCAACTGAAGCCCTCAGTCCCTCAGCCTTTGTGGAACTGAAATCCTGCCAACATCACATGAGCTTGACAGTGAATTCTTCCCTAGTTGATCCTTCGCTCTGACAGCCCGTCAGACACCTGGGTTACAGCCTCAAGGAGATGCCCCAGAGCAGATGACCTGTATCTGGACTCCTGACCCACAAAAACTATGAGATATGAAATGTGAGTTGTTTTGTGCTGCTAAGTTTGCGGTAATTTTTTATGCACCAATAGATAACTATCACAGTTGTGAAATCTCACAACTTCTGACAGTGAGTCAGAGCCAGAGCAGCTCCTAATCACTGAATTTTCCTTCACCACAAAGGGCACTGTAATGTCATCCCACGGGCCAAGAGAGCTTGGAACACAATATCTAGGGTAAGAGGAATCAGTGCAAACAAGTAAAATTACCTTCATGACAAGTTGAGGCATTTGGGGTATGTGTTTATGACTGATATATACACTGTCCTCAAGTGTGTTTTCACTCTAAAATCTTTGAAAATCTGATGTGTGGCCATTATTCTGGATTATCCACAGAGAGCCCAGGGATGGTGGTCCACCAGGCTCCCTTTGGCTCCTAACAGCTTCCAGAGGAGGAACGCCCGATGGGGAGGGCACTTCTATTGCCTTTGTGGAAAATCAGTTTCCTAGAAACTGAACACACTGAAGTATTTTCAGGTGAATCGTGTCAGTCAGTTCCCAGGAGCACATGAGACCTAAGGTTTTGAGATTTCAGGAATGGGAACTCTCAAAAAAGTGATGTTCTCATGGCACGAGGACCTCCCACACAGTTATCTCAATGTCTCCTTGAGCCCTAATTTACTTTCGTGTTTTATTATGAGTTATGATCTTTCTTCAAGCTCCTTGAAGGAATACAGGTCATTACTCTGAATTTTAGTAGTACTAATAAAATAGGTAATGATACGGTATTTACTTTCTGGTAGCTTATTCTGTGCCAGTTATTGTCTCAAGTGACTGACATAAATTACCTAAGGGAATATCCCCTAAAAGGACTGTGGCTGATAATAATTATTACCATTTCACAGAGGAGAAAACTGGGCCTATGAGGGAGATGTGACTTGCCCAAGACCACACAAGGATGGGGGCAGGGAATAAACACCCAAGTGAGGTCAGCAAGCAGTTTGGTAAGTTCACAGCTAACTCTGTCTCATCACAAAATGAGGTCCTGAAACTCACCTGTATCATTTTTAAATCAATTGAGGCATAATTTATATACCATAAGTTGTATACGTTTTCCATACACTTTGAGTTTTAAATATTTATATAGCTGTGTAGTTACCACCACAATGTAAATTTAGACCTTTCCATCCTCCTAAAAGTTTCCCTGTTTCCCTGTCTATCTCCACCCCAGGCTGCAGGCAACCACTGATCTGTTTTCTGCCCCTCTAGACTAGTCTTTCCTAGAATTTCCTATGAGTAGAATTATAGAGTGTTCTCTCCTGTGTCTGGTTGTTTCTTCACTCAGCATAATCTTATTGAGATTTATCAATATTGTTACATGTGCCAGTAATTTTTTTTATTGCTATGTGCTGCTCTTTTGTGTGGTTATACATTTGATTTATTTTAGGAAGAAGTCAGCATTATCCTTATAACAAAGGCAGACGTAGATGTTACATGAAAACTAAACTAAAGGCTAAAATCCCTTGTGAATATATACAACAATCCTCAATGAAATATTATTAGCAAGTGGGATTCAGAAATATATAAAAAGGCTCGTTTCTGATGCCCAAATGGGATTCATCTGGAGAATTCATTTACATTTGAGAATCAATCACTGTAATTTATCATATTAAGAGACTAAATAAGAAAAAGCTTATAATCATCTCAATAGATGAAGAAAAAGCATTTGACAAAATTCAACATTCATTCATGATAAAAGCTCTCAGCAGGCTAGGAATATGCCTAGGCTAATCTTATAAAAATGTACAGCTAATATCATAATCCCATAAAATTAGTAAAAAGGCAAGAAATTCTTATTCGACATTGGGCTGGAAGCTCTGGCTAGTATAATAAGGTTAGAAAGAAAGAAAGAGAGAAAGAAAGAGAAGGAAAGAAAGAAAGAAAGGAAGGAAAGAAAGAAAGAAAGAAAGATCATACAGAATAGAAAGAAATAAAACTCTTTATTTGCAGACAGCAGGATTGTCTATAGAGAAAAATCTGAACAGATCCCTATGAAACAGCTCCTAGAACCAATAAGTTTGCTTATCAAGGTAGGAAGATATAAGTCACGCATACAAAAGTCTATTCTATTCATATAGAACAGCAATAGACAAGTGGAATTTGAAAATTTTAAAAAGTGCCATTAAAATGGCATCAAAAAAAGTTACTTATACATTTAACAAAATACGTGCATGGAGAAAAATACGATGTTCATGAGTTGGAAGATTCAATATTGTTAAAATGTCAATTTCCCCCCAAATTTGTGTAAATTCTAGTACAAGTCTAATCAAAATCCCAGAAAGCTTTTTTCTTGTAGATATTGACAAATAAATTCTTCAGATGTTAAAATTATGTTTATTTTACTTTTTTGATTGAAGTATAGTCGGTTTACAATGTTGTGTCAATTTCTGGTGCACAGCACAATGCTTCAGTCATACATGAATTACATATATTCATTTTCATATTCTTTTTCACTGTAAGCTACTACAAGATATTGAATATCGTTCCCTAAAATTATGTTTAAAAAAAGCTTTTGTAAACACCAAAGTTACCATCCATGAAAGAAATAACTGGTAAACTAGGCTTCATTAAAATTAAAAACTTCTGCTCTGTGAAAGACACTGTTGTGGGAATGAGAAGACAGCCACAGGCTGGGAGAAAATATTCGCAGTAAACATATCTAATAAAAGACTGTTATCCAAAAATACGTAAAGAAACTAACAATAAGAAAACGAACAACCCGATGAAAAAAATGGGCCAAAGATCTTAACAGATACCTCACCAAAGAAGATACGCAGATGGCAAATAAGACTATGAAAGGATGCTCCACATCATATGTTACCAGGGAAATGCAGATTAAAGCAACGATGAGCTATCAGTACACACGTATTAGAGTGGACAAGATTGAGAACATTGACAACACCAAATGCTGGTGAAGATGTGGACTGATAGGAACCTCATTCATTGCCGGTGAGAAATGCAAAATGGTACAGCCACTTTGGAAGACATTTGCAGCTTATAAGTAAAACTAAACATACTCTTACCATAAAATCTGGCAATTGCACTCTTCGATATATATTCAAAGGAGTTTAAAACTTATGTCCACACAAAAACCTGCACACACCTGTTTATGTCAATCTTATTCATAATTGCCAAAACTTGGAAGCAACCAGGATGTCCATCAGTAGGCAAATGGATGTAGGATGTTGATAGTAGGGGAGGGTATGGCAGGAGGTATATGGGAACTCTCTGGGAAAGTATGTGGGTACCCTCTGCTTAGTTTTTTGGTCAAACTTAAACTGCTCTAAAATATGAAGTCTCTCTTTATAAGAAGCTTTGCCTGTATAGGAGAATGCTTTTGATATGCTGACAACTGAAAATTCATTTAATGCCATCTATTTTTTCTATTTAAAGATGATTATAAGAAGAAATTATAATAAATTACTGATGTCCAAATATTAAGTGCGCATATCTATATGACAGACAAATGGATGCTTAAAATTTCTTTATACTAATTTTTCCCATTTTTGGGGAATATTCAAGTGTTTTTCTCATCAAAGTTCTCCTGTAACTATGCCATCAAAGGCTATTTAGGTCTGTAGTCAATATCCACTGAATGTTGGAAGGTAAAAAAGTGTAAAAAAAAGAGTTAAAACAGCAAGACTGAGATGGTCATAGTTAGAATTTTTGCAAAATTGACCCTTCACTGGCATCTTGAAACAGATATTTGAGGGTTTCCATCATTTCCCGAATGGGTAAAGGTGGTTTACTGTGCCTAAACTCTTTGTGCAAACAATGGTTTATGTTCAACATTTGCTTTCCTTCTGGGAGTCTGGAATTTTGGTACATGTGCCGACTAAAAATTGGCATTTGCCACCTGCCTCTACAAGGATTAAGTCTCTAGCCACCGCAGACTCTGGCCTTCAACACACCCTGAAAGGAGTTCAGGGTGGAGGTTGAGAATGAGGCACTGCGTGCGCTGGGAAAAATCGGCAAACGAGCCTTCAGAGAGTTAGATATTTTCAGGGGAAGATTTTATGAGCCCCAATTTTTCATCTTCTCATATCTAGAAAAGCACTCAAATCATTAACAGTGACACCTGCTCCTGATGACTAGCAACAAGCCTCTGCCAAAACGTGTGCTTGACTGCACGTACCCCCCCTTATATATAATACTGACTTTCCCCCATACCTCTTTGGAGCAGTTCCTCAGCGCTATCTGAGATGCTGTCTCCCGGGCTATAGTCCTCATTCTTCCCCAGATAATCTTAATTTACAGTTCTCACATTGTGCTTTTATTTATTTATTTAATTACTTATTTATTGGTCAACAGTGTTAGGCAGAGGGTACCTATGTGACCAGCCCTCAGTAGAAATCTTGGACATTCTCTTAGTCAGTTTGGACTACCATAACAAATTACTCTAGACTGGTTGGCTTAAACAACACACATACATTTCTCACAGTCCTCGAGGTTAGAATGTTCAAGACCAAGGTGCCAGCAGCTCCTGTGTCTGATGTGCTCTTGCCTTCTGGTTGCAGATGGCCACCTTCCCCCTGTATCCTCACAAGGTGTAGAGCAGAGAGGGGAAGAAAGCTCTCTTATATCTCTTTTTGTAAAGGGACCAATCAGTGTTTTGTAGTTCTCCACATATGTCTTTCACCTCCTTAGTCAAGTTTATTTCTAAGTATTTTATGTTTTTGATGTTTTGATGTTTTACTTTCCTTTTCCTCCTATTTCATTGTTAGTGTAAAGAAATGCAACAAGTTTCTGTATGTTAATCTTGTATCCTGCTACCTTACCAAATTTTCTTCTCAGCTCTAGTAGTTTTTGTGTGGAGCCTTTAGGGTTTTCTATATATAGTATCATGTCATCTGCATATAGTGATAATTTTACCTCTTCTCTTCCAACCTGGGTCTGTTTTATTTATTTTTCTTCTCTGATTGCTATGGCTAGGACTTCCAGGACTATGTTCTATAGAGAATGGCCATCTATGTCTTGTTTTAGAATTTAGTGGAAAGGCTTTCAACTTTTCACCATTGAGTATTATGCTGGCTGTGGATTTGTCATAAATAGCTTTTATTATGTTGAGATATGTTCCTTCTATACCTACGTTGGTAAGAGTTTTATGTTGAATTTTATCAAATGCTTTTTTGTGCACATATTGAGATGATCATATGATTTTTGTCTTTTATTTTAATTGATGTGGTGTGTCACACTGATTTGTGTATGTTGAACCATCTTGTGTTCTGGAGATGAATCTAACTTGACCATAGTGTATGATCTTTTTTTAATGTGTTGTTGGATTTTTTTTGCTGATATTTTGTTGAGAATTTTTGCATCTATAGTCATCAAAGATATTGGCTTGTAATTTTCTTTTTTGGTAGTTTCTTTGTCTGGTTTTGGTATCACAGAGACAGTGGCTTCATAGAATGAGTTTGAGAGTGTTCCCTACTCTTCAACCTTTTGGAAGAGTTTGAGATTTATTGGTATACATTCTTCATATGTTTGGTAGAATTCCCCAGTGAAGCCATCTGGTCCTGGACTTTTGTTTGCAGGGAGGTTTTTTTAGCTGCTGATTCTATTTCATGTCTAGTGATCACTCTGTTCAAATTATCTTTTTCTTCTTGATTGTTCTAGTGGACTATATGTTTGTAGTAAGTTGTCCATTTCTTCTTGGTTGCCCAATTTGTTACCTTATAGTTGTTCACAGTATTCTCTTATTTTTTTTTTTTTTAATTTCTGTGGTGTTGGCTGTAAGTTCTCCATTCTTATTTCTTATTTTGTTTGTTTATTACCTCTCTCTTTTCTTCTTGTTGAGCCTCACCAGAGGTTTGTTGGTTTTGTTTACTCTTTCAAAAAATCAGCTCTTGGTTTGATTGATTTTTCTATTGTTTTTGAAATCTCTATTTTATTTATTTTGTCCCTGCTCTTCACTACTTCTTTGTTTCTGCTGACTGTAGGTTTT